CATCTCCCAGCCCCTGGAAGATGGCTTTTGATTGGTAGCTGAGAACAATTTATGGTTCCTCTCTTTAGGCTTCCAGATGACAAAATTCTCTGAATAATAAATTTCCTTTTGATAAAATTCAACTCTTTGCTTAGCACAAGTCACTTTGATCTTCCCACAGCCCACTCCCATCACAGTGTATAAAGTAAACATTTTTAGTAGCAAAGTACCCATCAGTTCCAAAACCAGATGGTTGATTGAGAGCTGGGGGCAGGTGAGGAGCATTAGCCACTCTCAGGGATTGTTATCATTTGTGTAGAAATGGGGAAAAGAGGAAGCCTGAAGTTTGAAGTATCTCTGTACCCCACAGGTAACCAATGCCTCTAACAAGAGACAGAATTTTATTCCACAGTCCAGTGTGGCCAAGTCTTATTTTTCAAATCATCTTTGCAAATCCAGGCATCTGTGTCCAGAAGGCTGGGAGGACAGACTATGTCCCGACCTTTCCTTGCAACGACTCTGATGTTTGCATTGGCAGCTGAGGGTTGGACATGATGGAAATATAGAGCCCGCCGGGATGCCATCCCACGTCCATGAGCAGAGTCCATATTTCCTATCTTGTGTCTCTCTAGAAAGAATTATTGCTTACCCTACACCCTGATGACAACCTATGATATCTTGATTCTGGTCCTGTGTGACTTCCTGGTAGTCAGATGCTGTAGGCTAATTTTATCCTTGCCGGGCTCAGCCTGCCCACAATTTCTAGCTCTTTCCTGTACCCTGCAGCGGTGAGCTTCACTTAATGTAGTCATCTCTTCCTGTGAAAACCAAGAAGTAAGGATTGTTATAAGTTATAAATAAAGGGCCTAGTCATTTCTCTGTGTGTGTGTGTGTGTGCGTGCATGCGTGTGTGTGTGTGTGTGTGTGTGTGTGTGTGTGTGTTTTATAAGAGGAAAGTTAAAGATAATATGAAGGCCTGTGAAAGTAATCAGGAAGTGGAGAAAAGTTATTTTCCATTCTAGCACCTAATCCTTTGGTGTGTTTTGGCA